TTTTCACTGGGGATGTTTCTGATTAATTATGCAAGGCATTGATGGCTACACTTGGCAATCAATTCGCAGCTTCTTTGATTAATTCCCCCATTTCTGTTTGGTTAATGGGACACATATTGATTTTTTTGGAGTAGATCTATAGCAACAGTTCCATAATAGCAGTAGATTTTCCGAGGGGAGAATCAATACTGCTAGTTTCCCACGAGTACAACAATCCTAGGGGAACAAGGATAAACTACCTCCTAAATGTGAAGTAGATTTTATTCAAAGCCTTTTATGTAAAGGTATAAAGGCAAACATTTTAGCGAAAGTTGTCACCTATTCCAATTTAAAATAGAAATATTCACCAAAAAAGTCAACTTACAAATATTTGCAACAGTTTATTCTGTTGTTAATTTTGTTAAGTGAAGAAATTTTTTAAATGACAAGAATTTTTAAAAATATTCTTTTTTTTTTTCAGTTGGTTTGGGTGTGTTTCCTGGATAGAAAGATAGGTTTTTGATCTCTGGGTGGACTCTAAGCACAATAAAACTTTGAATTGCCTCAGCTTGAATTACTCAAATGTGCCTTCTCATAATTTTTAACCATAACCTGTACAGGTTGTGCATCTAAATTTTGGGATTCATATTGACAGTACTTAATACTTTACATCTGACCCTTTTCTTTTACCACAAACCAGTTACTATACCACCATTGCAAAATATTTGGAACTCAAAAACCATCGTTTCCCGTATCATCCTTCTGCATTCCATCATAGGGTTGATTTGGAAATGCACATTCCTGAATTCCGAAAAATTTCTTTCAAGAGGCAATATATTTAAAGCAAGTATTTTTCTGTTTTAAAAATTATAAATTGGGTCAAAAAAGGGGGAACTTGAATTTTCAGACTTGTGAAATGCATTTTCCCTTGTTTTTCTTTTATCCAGTTGAGCAAGTAGGACCCCATTTCCTTATTACAAGGCTCAATTCCAAAACACAGCAAGCAAACTACTTGATTAACAAGTCTTGCTCTTACTTCCTTAATCTTGACTCTTAAAAGTAATATAGTGAAAACAAAAAAGAAAACATTTCAAAATGGTGTTTATTTTCTTTTCAACATGTTGAAAAAATAGAAAAAAGTTCCTGAATTCAAATATCATTGAACACATTTAATATTCTTCTCCCTCCTCCTCTCCTTCACCTTCCACCGAGTCCACACCCACTTCTTCATAATCCTTCTCCAGGGCAGCCAGATCTTCACGGGCCTCAGAGAATTCTCCTTCCTCCATACCCTCTCCAACGTACCAGTGGACAAAGGCTCGCTTGGCATACATCAGGTCAAACTTGTGATCCAGACGAGCCCAGGCCTCAGCAATGGCAGTGGTGTTGCTCAACATGCAGACAGCACGCTGAACCTTGGCCAGGTCACCTCCTGGGACAACAGTAGGTGGCTGGTAGTTGATGCCAACCTTGAATCCGGTGGGACACCAGTCCACAAATTGGATGGTACGCTTGGTCTTGATGGTAGCAATGGCAGCATTCACATCCTTTGGTACAACATCTCCTCGGTACAACATGCAACAAGCCATGTACTTGCCATGACGTGGGTCACATTTGACCATCTGGTTAGCTGGTTCGAAGCAGGCATTGGTGATTTCAGCCACAGAGAGTTGTTCATGGTAGGCTTTTTCAGCAGATATGACGGGAGCATATGTAGCCAGAGGGAAATGGATACGAGGGTAGGGCACCAAGTTGGTCTGGAACTCTGTCAAGTCCACATTCAGGGCACCATCAAAACGCAGGGAGGCAGTAATGGAGCTGACAATCTGACCAATCAGACGATTCAGGTTGGTGTAGGTGGGGCGCTCAATGTCCAGATTGCGGCGACAGATGTCGTAAATGGCTTCGTTGTCCACCATGAAGGCACAGTCCGAGTGTTCCAGGGTAGTGTGGGTGGTCAGGATGGAGTTGTAGGGCTCTACTACTGCAGTTGACACTTGAGGAGCTGGGTAGATGGAGAATTCCAGTTTGGATTTCTTGCCATAATCCACACTCAGACGTTCCATGAGGAGTGAGGTGAATCCAGATCCTGTTCCACCACCAAAGCTGTGGAAGATGAGGAATCCCTGAAGTCCAGTGCACTGGTCAGCCAATTTACGGATTCTGTCCAGGACCAAGTCCACAATTTCCTTGCCGATGGTGTAATGTCCACGGGCATAATTGTTGGCAGCATCTTCCTTTCCTGTTATGAGCTGCTCTGGGTGGAACAGTTGACGATATGTTCCTGTGCGAACTTCATCTGAAAATTAACAAAAACAAATGATGAGACAGGATCAAACATTTCAATTTAATCGTTGTTGAATGGTTCCATTTTGCCACTTTTCAGTATATTTTTTGTTATGATCTTTCATTTTCACCGGTAGTCAATAAACATTGCGCTTCTCTTTTAAGCTCAAGTACTTCAATCAAGGAAGTTCTTTTTTAAAGGAAGTAAAATTTCATATCTGTTACAAGGAAAGTTTATTCATATTGCAACCTTCCTTCTCAGTTTTAGATGAGATTTACATCTTATAATTTAACCTTGTATATAATTCTGAACATACCAACAACTGTTGGTTCCAGGTCAACAAATACAGCCCTGGGCACATGTTTGCCTGCACCAGTCTCGCTGAAGAAGGTGTTGAAGGAGTCATCTCCACCTCCAATGGTCTTGTCACTGGGCATCTGACCGTCTGGCTGGATTCCATGTTCTAGGCAGTACAACTCCCAGCAGGCATTGCCCATCTGGACTCCGGCCTGGCCAACATGGACACTTATGCATTCCCTCTGAAATCAAAAGGGATCATTCAAAATATTAAAAAAGTTATATTTATATAAAACAGAAAAAAAATTCGCCATGTTATATGGCTCAGTCTTGTTACACTCGACATTTATTGCCAAACCTTAAATAATATATATAGTGAATATGGGTGTGGTCCAACCTTTTATTTGCAGAAATTATATGAAACAAGGAATTATAAACCAAATAAAAAGTATATCTCATTAATTAAGTTCAAAAAGGGCCAAAACTCTTAAAATAACTTTTTTCCTTTACACGTGGCGAAGTACAACGTTCAGCTTGCCGCCAAAAAACACCACCTACTTTTGCTTGCTGACAAACATTTTTTTTTATATTTATATTCGTTAAAAACTAAAAAATACAAGATGTATATAAATTTGCACCTACCATATTGCTGTTGTTGATTGGTAATTGGGAAAGACGGAGAAAGTTACAAACAAGTTAACTCTCACGTGACGATCTGCAACGGATCAAGTGAGAAAGATGTGAATTACGCGGCCTCCCGTTCGCTTTTTATATGTCCTCGTTCAATTCAAACTTGGACGATCCTAAAGCGAGCGGTTTGATTGGTTGTTGTTGATGTAATGTGCCACAAAAATGTAAACAATTAGTTTCCACTCTAGTGCACAATTTAAGAAAAAAACCACGACTGTGACAAATTTACTGGTGTCGGATTTACAAAACAGTAAATTTAAAATACAGAGGAATTTAGCACGCCTAAATAAAAAAAAAACAACAAAAAATAAACACAGAAGATTTTTAGCAGAAATGAATGGCAATATGTACCGAAAAAATGCTCATATTTTAATTAGTAGTTATAATGTAATATATTAACAACAGGTAAACTTTATTTCACATTACTCATAAACTCTCACATATATGCATTATTTTTTGCAATATTTTTTTAAGAAAGAAAACCGTCTCTTTTTTAAAAAAATAAAGTGATGAAAGACGCATATCACATGTTCTTCAACTTCCTTAAGGATATCCGATCCTCAGCTAGGAATGATATTATTGAATTTAAAAATGTCTCAAAATGAAGCTTGAAATTGAAATATTTTCTTGCAACAATTTTTATTTTATGCATCTCAATATATATGATTTAATTAAGGTTCTTTGAAGTCTTAGAAATGATATTATAAAAAGTTGACATTTGTACCCCACAAAAGTACAAAAATAAATTAATTTTTAGAGAAATCAAATTTCCTTCAATGTAGCATTAGATCCCCGTGCTTATTAACATGATATGAAATTAGAAGTGATCTGGGATGTCTTGCAATGCTAACAATAACTTTTTACACTATGTATTTTATAACAATTGAAGTAAATAGAAGAACTAACTAAAATACTGTATAAGTGTGCAAAACATGCAATTTTCTCCAAATGCCTGGATACCTATAATTTGGAATCCAAAAATATATTTGTTGATCAGTTTTCAAGTAGAAAATCCATAGCTGGTGCTTTATTCGCATTTACTGAAAAAAAATTTGAGATCTGATAAATTTCCCTGTATAATATGATTAACTTTAATGATGAACGAAGAAATACCATGGGTAAATACGCGTTATTCTGTGACATCCAAAACATTTTTGTGAGAATTTTCAATTACTGAAAAGCTGATTTTCGGAACCTGAGGATCGGACTACCCTAAATTCTTTTCTTTCAGCGTGATTTTTTGTCCTGTGGTTACAATTTTATTTATATCATCCACTTGTCAATGAAATCAAATATGAGATTACATATAATTTTTCTTTGTTTAAAACTCAAAAAAATAAATAAATAAATATCTTCAGTTTCTAAATCTTAGAAATATGCTGTAACTTTACTCGATAAATACATGTAACCCATTTATTTATATTTGAAAATTATGGTATCTCCACTTTTGGTGGGGTGAAATAAAACATTTTTCTTTTACTACTGTAGCAAAAAAAGGAGGATTTACTTGATGCTATGTATAAGCTAGAAAGGGAGACAATAAAAATTACTTTGAATTAAAAAAAAAAGGGGGGGTTTCACATATGCATTATTAAAATATTAAATCCGCCAATGTATTAGACGTTAAGCACCGCTCGTTAAGCACCACCCTCCATTGTGACGTGTAGTTTTGTTCGGAACTTCTCTAGTTTTTAATCAAAGTGCAAGGAAAACCCTCGAAAGTCGCTGTCACTAAATATGCATCATCGGGGCCCACATACTATAAAAGCAAAATGAATGAACTCGCACATCACCTTCCTCCAGACTCATTGAGCAGTCAAACACGAGGATTTTACATCACTTCTGAAATTCTACTTCTTACCCACGCTTTCAAATCTTCATAATGGTAAGTCTTGTTTTTTACTTATTTTGGCTCATTAAAGTTAAGTTTTGTCTTTAGAGTTTTTTAATCGTCAATGTTTTTGCCGGCTGGATTAGCTGACCGATCCCCTCAGGGCCCTGTCTGTTCTTTGAAGTGATTGAATTCTTTCTTTTTGTTTTCGATGTTCAAAGCTATGAACCCCCCAAAATAATATTTTATATAAACTTTGATATAAATGAGTGTTTATATATTGGAAATTGGCGGGAAAAAATGCGAGAGACAACGCCCACGTCAGGCACGTGTGACCCGCACAGAGACGGGAACTGTCAGTGCAAGGCACTATAAGAAGAAATATGTATATGTGGAATATTTAGGTCTCTTTGTGATACATGAGCTGTCATTAAGTTATTAGTTCATTTATTTTAGAGGGAATGCATCAGTATCCATGTCGGACAGGCCGGAGTCCAGATGGGCAATGCCTGTTGGGAGTTGTACTGTCTAGAACATGGAATCCAGCCAGACGGACAGATGCCCAGTGACAAAACCATTGGAGGTGGAGATGACTCCTTCAACACCTTCTTCAGCGAGACTGGTGCAGGCAAACATGTGCCCAGGGCTGTATTTGTTGACCTGGAGCCAACAGTTGTTGGTGAGTAATCATATATTTTTCCACAGATAAATGTTAAGCGTATTGAGAAAAAAAAATATTTTTTTCTTTTAAGATAATAAAAATGGGATGATAAGAATGGGGTGCTCTTTAATTCTGAAATGCCGGTTTTGTTAAGAGGCTTTTCTGAAGTTTTACAAAAATAGTCTTAATGCGATTTATAAAGGGAAAAATGGATTTGGGTCAGATGCAAGTATTTATATTTTTCGAATCACTTATTCTGGTATACTTGAATGGATGAAGAATAGATCATCATGTGTATGGAGTCATGACTTATGACTCACCAGTTCTCACAAAATCAATGGTAGCAGACGGCAAATTGCAGCTGTTCTGCATTGCTAGCATATTTTTTTTACTCTCATTTATTTTGTGAAATGCTTTCACTGCTACAGAGAGGGGGCTCTCAGACAGGCTGGTGATAAGTTCCACATGTGTCAAACACAGCGCGTTGAGGAGATTAAATGTATCCCGCCAATTCTTCTTTGTTCCAAATTCAAATGAAAAAGTTGGCCATGAATTGTTGGACCAAACTTAGCATCATCATAATTATGTCTGGCTACTGTACTTGAGAATTATTATGCAGACGATGATTCATCTGCAAATGTGATGCAGTTGCATTTCTTTATTGATTTTATACTGCATTATAGTTTTTTAAGGCAGACAGCCAATACTGTTGAATCACAAAATGCTGATAGAAAGTGGCCATGAAATCATCCCACTCATAATGATAGATTTCATTGATTATTTTCTTGATGCAGTAACATTTAACTAATGGATTTCTACTTCAGGGCAATCCACATGTAGAGCTATTTAATAATTTAATCAGGTGCTTCTGAGTGTATATTGATGGACATACCCGGTACCTTTAACAATGAGAAAGTTTATCTCCTGGCCCAGATAATGCTTAATTGCAAAATTTCCCTCTGAAATCTGATTAGAATTCATGTATATATACTTATTATATATTACAAAAGAAAACTTAAGCACAAATGTGCTTCAATTAAGCACCAAATTCCAGGAATGATTTTAAAAAATATTAAAAGAATTATCTTTCAGAATCATCTGGTATTCACTTCCTTGTGACTTGGTTTTGTCCTGTTTCATAATCTGTCAGGATGTTGTATTTTATTTTTAGTTATTGAGTAAAGCCGTTAAAGCATTTTAATTTTTTTTTTTTAGATGAGGTGCGTACTGGAACTTACAGACAGTTATTCCATCCAGAACAACTAGTCACAGGAAAGGAAGATGCTGCCAACAATTACGCCCGTGGACATTACACCATTGGCAAGGAAATTGTGGATCTGGTCCTGGACAGAATCCGTAAACTGGCTGACCAGTGCACTGGACTTCAGGGATTCCTCATCTTCCACAGCTTTGGTGGTGGAACAGGATCTGGATTCACCTCACTCCTCATGGAACGTCTGAGTGTGGATTATGGCAAGAAATCCAAACTGGAATTCTCCATCTACCCAGCTCCTCAAGTGTCAACTGCAGTAGTAGAACCCTACAACTCCATCCTGACCACCCACACTACCCTGGAACACTCGGACTGTGCCTTCATGGTGGACAACGAAGCCATTTACGACATCTGTCGCCGCAATCTGGACATTGAGCGCCCCACCTACACCAACCTGAATCGTCTGATTGGACAGATTGTCAGCTCCATTACTGCCTCCCTGCGTTTTGATGGTGCCCTGAATGTGGACTTGACAGAGTTCCAGACCAACTTGGTGCCCTACCCTCGTATCCATTTCCCTCTGGCTACATATGCTCCCGTCATCTCTGCTGAAAAAGCCTACCATGAACAACTCTCTGTGGCTGAAATCACCAATGCCTGCTTCGAACCTGCCAACCAACTAGTCAAGTGTGACCCACGTCATGGCAAGTACATGGCTTGTTGCATGTTGTACCGAGGAGATGTTGTACCAAAGGATGTGAATGCTGCCATTGCCACCATCAAGACCAAGCGTACCATCCAATTTGTGGACTGGTGTCCCACCGGATTCAAGGTTGGCATCAACTACCAGCCACCTACTGTTGTCCCAGGAGGTGACCTGGCCAAGGTTCAGCGTGCTGTCTGCATGTTGAGCAACACCACTGCCATTGCTGAGGCCTGGGCTCGTCTGGATCACAAGTTTGACCTGATGTATGCCAAGCGAGCCTTTGTCCACTGGTACGTTGGAGAGGGTATGGAGGAAGGAGAATTCTCCGAGGCCCGTGAAGATCTGGCTGCCCTGGAGAAGGATTATGAAGAAGTTGGTGTAGATTCTGTGGAAGGTGGGGAAGATGAGGAGGGAGAGGAGTATTAAAGGACCAGACAATTCAACTGAGATTATAATTTATGGACTCTGCTAAACTCTTTATTTTCAGCTGTATTATGATTTGCTCATCAGTGCAATATTTGACCATGACAATCTAAAACTGGGAAAAAAGTGAAATTGAATTCAAATTTCTGCTGATAATAAATTGCTGAAGTTCTTGCATAGTTTTGTCTTTTTGTTTTTAAGAATAATTGTACTTGTTGATATGTTATTGATCTAAATTCTAATTATTCCGTTTTGAAAAAAATGGTTCCTCAAAGCTTCATGTGCATTTTCTATGGAAGACTACCGGTAGACAACAGAACACAGATATCTGGAATACCATGGATATGTCAAAGTGATTTGAAAGTCCCACTCACTTATTCTTTAAAGTATCTTACACGAGATATCTCAAATCCATGGATATCTCCAAATTTTTTTCTCAGTCACATCAAGTTTGAGATAACAAGGATCAACTGTATTTGACAATACAAAGTTGCAAAAGAGGTAATTTTTAGTCCACTTGAGCTGAAAGCTCAAACAAGTTTTTTCTGATCACCTCTTCTGGTATCCATCATTGTGTGTAACTTTTTCTCATTTCTGACTTCTTCTGAAGAACCACTGGGCCAATTTTAACCAAAGTTGACACAAAGCATCCTTAAGTAAAGGGAATTCTAGAGATATAATAGAAAAGGGGAAATGTGTGGAAGCTTTCTATGATCATGTAGAAATCATGACCCCCCCCCCCCCCCCCCTCAATGTGAAGGGTGACTTCAAAAGGGGATCAATGTTTTACTTTAAGATATATAGAAAAAATATTTGATTCTTCTCAAGAACCACTGGACCAGAAAATATAAAACTTACTTGAAAGCTTTCAAACATAATGTAGGTTCTAAATTGTTCAAATCATGGCCCTGGGGGTAGGGTGGGGCCACAATAGGGGATAAAAGTTCTACATTGAAATTATAGGAAAAATCTTAAAAACCACTGGACCAGAAAAGATGAAACTTATTTGAAAGCTTTCAGACATAATGTAAATTCTAAATTCTACCAATCATGGTCTCTAGGGGTAGAATGGGCCCACAATAGGGGATCAAAATAGGAAAAGATTCACTATTTAACTTAGATTAATATGCTTTTATAACGCAACATTTGTATCTTTTCAAGAAATACTTGAGTCCATTTAGTCAAAGGTTGTATCACAAACATGACTATTTGTCAGGAGTTGTGTAGCATAGTGATAAACATGTTATAGTCTCGAAGAAAAGGGAAACTCAGGAATTTTATTGCCTGGGTTGAACCCCAAGAAATACTCTGTACCACATGTTATTTTTTTAAATTTACTTTTTGCTGAGACATTTTCTGCAGAAGAGTTTTGTTTGTCATATATTCATAAATTTCAATAATAAGAATAATCTTCTTTTCAAGAACAGCAAAACCATGATTGGTCATATTTATATGGAAGCATCCTCAGGTAGTTTTAGAAGAAGTTGAAAATGTGAAAAGTTTACAGACGGATGGCAGACGGACAGATGATGGACAAAATGTGGTCAGAAAAGCTCACTTGAGCTTTCAGCTCAGGTGAGCTTAAAAAGTAGGTCACAGTGACCTACTTTGTAAAGTTTACAGCTCATCATCTTCAAATATTTTTGGGGACTAGGACGTACTCTAAACGTATTACGTTTCCACTAATTCCACTAATTCAAGTACAACGCTTAATGTCTTGCACATATTAACATAAATAAGAACATATAGAAATGCGTTAAAGCAAAGCTATGCTAACTTGTTCAAAAATCAAGAAGATGGGTGAATATGACGAGCGAAAAGCCTTTAGTGTGACAAACATGAAGGTGAAAAATTAAATCTAAATTACATTTTCCTTGATATTTCATCTAAAATTAAAATATACTTTATGTAAAATCGCTACAATTGGCAAGAATTTCACGAAGATTGAAATTATTTGCTTATGAAATATTATACACAAACTAAAGAGGGCAAAAAGAGTCATTTTCTCATACTATAACGCTATTTTTCGATATGAGTGGGTCTTCGCTCCATTTTTTTTGAAAATTAATCCTCAATATTTGCATAAAAATAAACATATTTTGGATACCAAAAATATGGAGCAAAGACCCACTATACCTTAAAAATATACTTTTATGACATAACATTCGCATCTTTCAAGAAATACTTGAGGTCCATTAAGTTAAGTCGAGGGTCATATCACAAACATGATTTAAATGCCACCAATCATCAGGACTTGTGTACAAGTCTAGTGGTTAGCGTGCTAGTCTTGAAAGAAAATGATTCTCAGGATTTTTATTGCTAAGGTTCGAACCCAACGAATACCACATTTTTTATTAAAAGAATAAATTTTGCTGAGAAAATTTTCCTTAGAAAAGTTTTGTTTATCATAATTTTATAAATTTCAATAATGAGAACTTTACTCTAAATACTTAAGAACTACACACGCTAACTCTCGATTCCTGCCTACATTTTACACCCATTTAATTCAATATTAATGGCAATTTGGCCGTAAAATCTTCGTTGAATGCAAAGAACAGTTCAATGGTAATTGACTGATAATTTTAATTCCAGTGTTTAATAGTTAATTACTCCTAATTCCAGCTCTTTAAATAAGGGGGGTAGGCGATATTTTTCATTGAAATCGGGCTTTCAAGTATCACCACATTTTAAAATATTCTTGGATATGAATAGATTTTCCTTAAATCTTTTCTTATGTTTAACTCATATAAAATTAAACATATATTATTAATAAAATACAATGTTTTAGTTGTAAACCCGTTTGAAATTGTTAAAAAAAAAAAAAAAGCATTTTTGTAGTTTTTTGACTGTAAACATATGTCCCCCCCCCCCCCCCCCCCCCATGAAACACAAAAAGCTTTGGTATGAATTTGTGAAATGACAGTCCATATTACCTGTAATAAGAAATTTTTGTTTCACGGGGGTGGGTGGGGGGAAGATGTTTTAAAAATATTTTCCGTTTTCTGTTGATTTTTATAGTGAAAAACACAAGTTATACCAAAATTAGAGTTATCTCTCTTTGTTTTCCCAAAGAAGCAATGTTTTATGAAAATTCATATAAATATCTATACAGATATGAAAAATCATTCATATCTGTTAACTTTTGAAAATTGACTTGGAGGTAGGCGAGAGAACAATACTATTGTTCGCAGTTCTTCACAAATTGAACATGATTTTTGTATATCTGAAGCTATATGCTTTCTGCACGCTATGTTTGCCTATCTCCTTTCCGCCAAATATCGAACACACTAAATATGATAAATTTACAATATTAGATCACCAAACCTGAATTGTTGATACATCTTGGGACTGGAAAATATGTCAACCCAAAAGTAAGCCACAGTGATCTTGTTATTCAATTTATCTGAAGAGCCATTCTAGGCCCTTGGGCCTCTTGGTTTTTTTTCTCCTTTGTGTCGATATGTTGAAAAGATTTGTGCACATGCAATAGTGATGCACTGAAACCTTAACACAAAAATTAATATTTCACTAAAGAACTTTTATAGAAATCCAAGAGAATCAATAAAACAATGAGAATAAATAGTGTTAATTTACACACCTTCCAATTAGAAGTACATGTATATTTCATTTCATCAAAAACCTGTAAGATAGCTTTAAGCAATTTTTTACTACATCCTGCATGTGCTGTAATATGCCAAGATAAAAAAAAAAAAAACAAGGGTCCAAGGGTTTTCTTTTTGTTTATTTTGGAATGTTACAAAGATAGTTTACAGTCTGGAAATAAACATGAATTATCTTACTGTATTTTAAATGTTTTTTTAATTTATTAAAGTATCACAGCACATTGTTCCAATCTGAATTTGAGTAATGATAGAACCTATGATAAATGGCATTATGCTTATATAAACGATGTATGCAATATAATATACATCATGACAAAAACAAATTAAAACTATGTATACATGACCATTAAGGAGTAAGAATTAAGTTCCTTTTCCCTTAATTATAACAGAAAGTATTTAATTATGATAAAAGCACCTTTAGAACAATATAGATGAAAAATACGTATAAAAAGCATCAGATCTGAAATAATAGCCTAAAACAATCTGTGATAACTGCGTACCATTTCAATAATCACCCATCCCTCTTACAAATGTTCATTAACATCATTATTTCAAAATGTTTGCAAAACAGAGGATATATTTATGCCTTTTACCAACCCCTCCCCCCTTCAATACTAAATGCATTTCATGCAGAAATATAAATAATAACTTTCTACTCTGGGCACATCAATATTATGTAATATATATACCCTTCTTCAATTCTCTTAATGCCCTTGTTGGGTAAATAAATTGACAATCAAAGTTAAAATAGCTTGAATCTTGGGCTCATAGCAAATCAATCAATAAATTTTCATCATCATGACTAGACAGATACATATATGTACATGCATGCATTAGCATTTGGAACATCACCAAAAGAAAGTTTTAGATTGAAAAGGGGTGAGCATTTTACATGTACAAGTTATAGCACATATTAAAAAGTTTTATGAATGCAAAGCATTGATATTACTGGAGATCCCAAGGTATCCTAACACTATAATCACATTCAAACACTCTCACTTTTAAAAGTTTTACCATTCAGGTAATGTGAGTCAGAAATCAGGTACCTCAGATGACAGTTAATTAGGAGAGTGTTACTTGGAATGTCCGTATTTCCATTGGGTTAAGAATCACTGTAAAATTATCAGCTGCTTTGATCTTGTGTTGCATTAACTTGGTACCTTGAATGAAAAAAATTGCACATTGTTAAAAAAAAAATGAATTAAAAACATGTAGTTCAAATTACATGTGTTCTAATTCAAACACAGTGTATGCATTTTTTCATTTAAATATTCCAAGAAGATTTCTATTTCCAGTATGGACTCTATAATAGTGTGAGAAATTTAGTAGATGAATATCTATTTTAAATAATCTCCTTGATGAATATTTTCAAGAGATTTTACAAAAAAAAAAGTTCACCTGTAGTGTAGTCTTTTGTTTTCCACTGTAGTCTGTTGAGATCACTAAGGGGTAAATTGGCCCCCATTGTTAATTCTTCAATGGTTTTTATACTGAATGGTACAAACATATCCTGAAAATGAAATACATAAGGTCAGCAGTTAACCATCAGCAGGGTACTATTGTATAGCACAAAAAAAAATCAACACCATAATTCTTAAAGAAATTCATGTAATCAATGTATTTTATTTTTATCTGATTTTAGAAATTTTTTGCTTCTAATTAATATATTATATGAGAAAAGTAGTGTTATGAACAAATTGTTGAATATTAAAACACGTTTTTACCTTCACCATAAGTTTCACAGGTTTAGACAATTCAGAGTTTTCTCCCTTCTCATAAATATGTTCAAATCTGATGAGGAAGGGTTGAGTAGGGCTGGGTTTGATTGTAGGGCCACCCCACTGCTCCAAGGTCAACATATGGACATTGGCTGGCAGTGGAGTCTTCAGTCCTGACCACTGCAACAAGAAACATATCAATAACTGAATCAGTTTATCATTATATCTACATCAGGATGTTATACAGTCAAACCTCATTATCTCGAACTCAATAAAACTGAGAAAATACTTCCGATATATCAGAGAATTCGAGATATCCAGGGTAAAATACTTAAGGAATAAGCAGTTAGGACTTCCAAATCATTTTGAAATATCTATTATATTAGTGTTCAAGACACCGAAGTTCAACTTTACTTGAAAAAGGTCATGTACAGTGTTTCTGTCAAATAATGGATATATACATGTTGTGCATTAAAAATCTTGCATATTAAAAAATGAACATATTTAAAAAGTTAAGTCACATCAAAGGTTGTAATGTTACAAATTGGGCCAAATAAATACATCCTAATTTTCTCTGAGTGACTTAGTCATATGTCACTAATTAGTGACATGTTGATACAAATTGTACAAAATTGTTACGGTGATGTTGTTGTCAATTTTGTGATGTAATGTTTCTGAGTTACTCAAATGGAGCTCCTCCCTAGGGATTGGACCCTGGATTCAGTGGAATCATTAATCCAAAAGATGACTTAATAATTAATATTCAAACAAGAGGTCCATAGGCCATAATGCTCACCTAAGTCACTATGGCCCTGCTGTTCTTCAGCATAAGATTTTTTAAATTCCCCTCTTTAATTTTATAAACATTTTTACTCCATACAGTGGACCAAGATCTAGTCCTTGGGGGCTATAGTTTTATTTAAAGTTGAATCAACATGACACTGGGATGCATCAATATGACTAACATGGCCCTGCTGCCATGGAATTTTTTCTTCTATACATAGGCATTTTATAAAATTTGGATCTCTGATTACCAGGGTCTTGCTGTTCTAGAGAAGATTTTTTCATTAATAGTATCACCCTAATGCAGGGGTCCATAATATGAAAAAAGGACAGAATCCACACAATTTTGCATATTAGTATGATTTTTTTGTAACCCTGTTACTTTTTTTTAACTTTTTAATTTTTTTTAAGTGTTATCATGTAAAATTCTGATTCCCTATTTTAGCCCTTCCCTAGCCCATGGGGCCATTATTTGACTAAATTTAATCTGCACTGTCTGGAGATGCTTGCATAATTGTGAACCTGCTCTGCTTAAGAAAAAGATCTTTAAAGATTTTTTTCCTATATATTCACGTGTGAAACTTTGATTCCCTTATATTTATTTATTTTTTTTACACCCTACCCCTGGGAGTCAGGATTTAAGCAAACTTTCACTGCTTGATGATGCTTGCATATTAATATAAAAAATGCCCTCTTGATCTTGAGAAAGATTTTTCCCGGGTCGATTCCCGTGTAAATTTGTTGATCCCCTATTTTCGCTCCATCCTACCCCCGGTAGCCATGATTTGTACAAACGCGAATCTACGAGGGCTGTTCGGAAACTATTGAAACATTTACTTTAAATCCATAAAAGACAGAAATTAATTCATGAGAATTCGTCAGCATTTTATAAAAAACAAATAAAACAAATATGCAAAATTTCTAGTTAATAGAATCATTAGACAAGCCCTGGTGAATGTATAGACTTGCATATGTCTATTGACCTGAAGCAGCCATCCGAAGTTTTTTTTTCTTACATTGATAAGACACTTGCTGTGGTCTTCAACTCGACATTTAGATATATGGGCGCCGTATTGTCAATTAACAATAGTTACTTCCATTCATTTGTCGACTCGATATATCCAAGTGAACTTGAAATAAAAGATACAACAGAGTCTTGACAGATCTATTTTATACCTGGATATTTTACTAGAAAAAGAAGTTAACAATATACCTTTATCACCTGCATGTGGGGTTTATATCTCCCAATTGATTCGATACGCAAGAGCATGCTCCACGTACGAACAATTTCTAAAACGAGGCAAGCTTTTGACAAACAAGTTGATGAAACAAGTATATCAACAGTCTCGTTTACAGTCATCAATTCGCAAGTTATATGTTTGATACAATGACCTTGTCAGCAAATACAATCTATCATTAGGTCGAACGTTGTTTGACGTTTTTTCATACTAATTGTTAGGCCAATATATAAACACGGAAGATTTTTCCGTTTACCCCAGTCTAACCCCCAGGATTCATAACTTAAGACAAGAGGTTCATGGGCCACAATGCTCACCTGAATCAACGACCCTGCTTTTTCTTTATTAGAAATTTTATGTACCGGTATTCCCACGTAAAACTGAGATTTCCTATTGTGACCCAATCCTACCCCAAGGCATCATGAATTGAACAAGCTTGAATCTATACTACCTGAGGATGCTTCCATATTAATATAACTAATCACTGTTTTGCTGTTTTTTTTTTAAAGTTTAAAGACTAATCATGCCTTTGCTATTTTTGAGGAGGAGATTATTATACAGTTGAACTTCGGTATCTCGAACACTGATATCTTGAATACCCTAGATATGTGATATGGAAGTCCCAACCCCTTAATCTTTAAGTATTTTCCCTGGGTATCTCGAATCCTCAGATATCTCGAAATTTTTTTCTCGGTTCCATTGAGTTTGAGATAATGAGGTTTGACTGTATATTTTTTCCTATATATTCCTTTTAAAATTTGTTCACCTATTGTGGCTCCACCCTACCCCTAGGGTCATGATTTGAACAAACTTTAATCTACACTAGGTCAGGAAGCTTTCACATAAGTTTCATCTTTTCTGGCCCAGTGGTTTTTGAGAAGAATATCTATAAAAGATGCCATTAAATTTTCTCTAATTCTTAATTATCTCCCCTTAAAAGAGGGCTTTGCCCTTAATTTGGAAAAAAAAAACTTGCATTTCCTTTACCCAGAGAAGCTTTGTGGCAAGTTTGGTTGACATTGGCCCAATGGTTCTGGAGAACCAGAAGAAATTGTGAAAAGTTTATGATGACAACAACGATGATAAGGACAACATACCACAGACAAATTTCAATCAGCTTGTGGCTCAGGTGAGCTAAAAATAAAGTTATTCAGTGAACATGGGTTTAAAAACTGTAATTGCTTTGCTGGCATATTTCACGATGCCTGCTAGTGAAAGGAGTCTTTGCTTCTTACAGTAGTAAGGAACTTCTGGCTCCAGTCCTGTTGTTTCATCTGAGAGGCAGTGAATGATAGAGAGGGAGCCATGTACAGTCGTAGTCCCATATCCCTGTGGAGGGCCCCAGAATTCTGCACTGTGTCCAGAAATAAGAAATGCTTCCCTGAAAAAAAGTAATGTTATTATTTCGTTGCACTACTTACTAGTACATGTATAATGTGAAACTTGTAACAGAATAAGACTGATTTTCTCAGATTTATGTTATTTTCAGGTAATAATCATTTGCATACTTTGTATTATTACATGCATACTACAAATAAGTGGATTTTATAATTTGTTTCTGCACAATCCATAAATGTCAATAAAAGCATTTAAGAATATTCCAATAAGGCCTGCTGGCATAAAAATTTCACATTTACGAGAAGTACATTACCTCTGGCAATGAGACCCTTCCCATCAGCCCCTGTCTCATTCAAAGCTTCTCCAACTCCTAAATTGTCATCATACAACAGACGGCGATGTAACTGTAACATAAAGCAGTATAAGCCACTGGAGTATTTCTATACTATATACTCAATAGACCATTTAATTTGCATGTATGAACTTTTTACTATAAGTTTTGTCATCTTCTTATGGCTTACTTGGACATATATAAATTTTGTTTTCGTAGATCAGTCACTATAATGCCCTGATACATATTTCATGACTGTGTGCTATAACAGTGGTATTAAAAATTTCCATTTTTTTTTGTACAAGCAACTAACATGACAAAGAAATGAAACTAAACATGTTGTTATTTGTTACCATGACTTCCACATTTCCATCCTGTAGACTGCTTCCTCCTTGACTTCTGTCTGTCATCACAGTAAACTGAGTGTTGTCATCCTGGAAAAATTAAAGCAGAATTGAGATCGGGAAATTTAATGCAAACCAAGATTTTTCTAGTTACTCTATCCAGTTAAATTTTCACTGCTGTTTTATTCTCATTGTCTATACAGCAGAAGAAAATAAAATTAACAAAATATGGAAATTATCTAAGTACTCAGTGCTTTAAAAACTGTGAATTCAAAATAAAAATCGAAAATTTGAAGGGGGAGGGGGACTGTCATGAGCAACAACATAAAAGTTAGGAATTATTTGAGTCAGTGGTTCCAAAGTAATTTCCCAGACACAATCTTGAATTTTGTTAAAGATAGATTGACCCCCATGCCAAAATCAATATGTTTCATCCTTATACATATTTTTATTTCAGAAATTGAAACAAGAGACACATGGGCCACAGTGCTCACCTGAGTCACTGTTCTTTTCATTACAAATTATATTATGTAAATGTATATACAGGACTTTTAAGTGCATGGTTTTAATAATTTAAATTCACAGTATATTGAGGCTTAATGTCAACATCACAATTTGAGATAATAAGAATATTGTAGGAACATATAATCTACTTTGATATAAACTCTGCTGTTGATGGGATAATAATTTGCAGAAATTGGTTCAGATGTCTTGAACTTCCAAGTATCTCTGTGATTTCGCCTGAAAAAGACAGGATGTTATTACTCAATTGTGTATGCTTATCAAATCAATGTGCATTTACAGTCCAATTATGTACCTTTATAATCAATCATGTTATTATCTCACGGTACAAGTTCAATCTGAAAGGTATGCACAAAAAGGATGTTTTGTAGACATGAAAACACCAAATGCCAATCACAGAAATCTGAAAGATACAATGTACATTGAAATCCACAAAACAATTAATTTCTTACGTTCTTTTGAGTATTTCTCTCCCGTTGGCATCAGTGTAGAAGACACCTTTGGTTTGTAGCCCTGTGCTATACTTTGTAATGATTTCTTTTCCCATGCCATCACTAAAAAAAGATTAATATTTCAACTCAATCTCAACAAGCTGTACATAAAAAAGATAAATCAAAGCATTAGAAAGGCAACTTTGCTTCACTGATTTGTTGTTAAAGGAAAGTCTACATAAAAATGCATGAGTACAAATAAAACTACCGGTATACAGTCTTTACCATTGTGAGTTTCTGGAGGGCTATACTAACTGACCTGATAGGTATTGGGCCAACTGTCCACTCCAACTCTGCATAGTTTGCCTGGTCATACAGTCTGACCACTTGGGACACCCAAGGTGAGAACTGTTGCCTGATTTCCTGGACCAACTGACCCTAAAATGAGAAAGAAATGTTATGTTTATACAAGCTGTCAAGTCCCACATATGATATACTGTATAAGTATTTAGAATACTATTTAGAACCATGTAAAATTTGCAAGTTCAAGAATTTACACAAGTCAGTACTTCATATTTTTTAAAACCAATTCCTTAGAATACAATTCATTGGAATGTCTACAGAATTCACTCATTTACCTGAATGTAATAGGTTTTCTTCTTTAACTGAGGCTGAAAGTTATACGTAGTTGTAGTAAGAGGTCTGAATACGTAAGCTCCGGAAGCTTGGTACTTTAATACACTGGTATTGCCAGGGTGCCCTATATAGTACAGGAATGTCTGCTGTAAAGGAATGGAGGCCCCAGAATTCAAGTTCTTCATTGACTTCAACTGGCCAGATTTTCCATCAAACATCAGGGATAAATGCTAAAGAAACCAAAATGGTAAAATTTAAACATCTCAAAAGTGTCACAAATTCAAATATTTTGAAAAATTACATCATTATTTTTCTTCCAGTAATCTCATTTGCGACTGAGAACACTTGTTTGCTTTAAATTGAAAACTTATTGAAAAGATAAGTGCAGTAGTATAAACCTGATTTTTTATGACGACATCTGAATTATCAAACTGGTGAACAAAAGACTTCTGTGACTTGCTTGCTCCTTTAAATACAAAAGAAGTCAATAAACACAAGAATAAAAAAGAAATTATAAAACTTCAAAAATGTTTTGCAAATATTTATATTCAGCAATACTACAATTGAACTTCGGTATCTCGAACACAAATATCTCGAAAACCATGTATATGTCGAAGTGATTTTAAAGTCCCAAACACTTATTTCTTAATTATTTTACCCTGGATATTTCGAATCCTTGGATTTCTGGTCCTGTGAAGTTTGAGATAATGAGGTTTGACTGTACTTGAATTTTTAAAGGTATCAGAGTATAAATTCATTAGCTACCATAAAAAAGCATTTCACTGATGTATGGTACATGTGGACTAATTAGCCTACCCTGACTCATTTTGACAAAGAAGGTGCTGAAGCCAAGGGGGGGTAATGAGACCCTGAAGACAAGTTCATTCTCTGCCAGTGATCCATTCCTCTCTGGTATTCTCTTAGTCTCATTGCTGACGGGTAAAACCTGTAGGTAAAAGGTCAAATATCAAGGATTTATTTGAACAACAAGATAGACATCAAATTGCTTTTTTGAGAAATTACTTCTTTTAAAAACTTGCTTTACAGGTGTAATTTAAATGTGCATGATAATATAGAGCTATAATGCAATCATTTAATTCAAATGGGGAAAAATACCTACATTTAAATATATAGCAACAGATACATGTAGTCTAATAAACTTATAAACATATTTTTTTTTGGGGGGGGGGGGGTATGAAAATTAAAAAGAAAGATGAGAATCAGAATTAAGTTTATCTTGCACTTGTTACAAACCTGAGATGGGATACTCTTGCCATTGGGATCTGTTATGACATAAGATCTACCTATGACAGGAAGTCTTATCCAATGATTCAATGACCTACCCAAGGGGTTGTACACTGTCATGGTAAACTACAAACAGTTTGATAAATATAATTGTTACAAAGGTTGTGGAGATTTATTTCAGCAAATGTAAAAAAAAAACTACAAATGTGAGCATCATTGGAATAAGCAAATAGGCCTAAAACAGAATTTATTGAGACTCTGGTTTTACATGTAAGTATTTTCTTTGGTGACAGTGGAACAAGTTTCTATTTTATTTATAATAAAGTGGAATAAAACTCTACAGAAGAGAATGTGCTATGGCAGCTGAATATTCAAGGCTGATTTAAAAAGTCATTCTAAGCTAAAACATGAATTTTATTACTTTTATGTAATTATATAGTTTTTTTCTTCACACAGATGTAGTAGAGTCAACTGCTGAATTCTGAATAGACCATAGCTTTTAAAATACACATGTATCAAAGATCACTGTTCTATGAATTCTGGATGGAAACTGCATTGACATGGTTTCATCAGATTTTTATATATGGAATATCTGGAAATTGTGTAATTAATTCATATTACAGAAAAGTTAGTCCGAAATATCTGATGTTTTCCTGGCTTTTTTAACGATTTGATATTTTATGTGCCAGGAAAATGTCAGAACCGGCGCCATTACAAAAACTGGAAATTTCACCGTCTCCAGCAAGAGTTGATTTTCAATACTTGCGAACCGAATTTTATGCCAAACTCACAATTTATCAATAGCACAATGCTTCAAGTACTCATCAAGTACTCACCGATATCGATGAAAAGAAAACATCACTCCACATTTGATACAGGACTTGCAAGATTTTAAAATGCATGAAATGAAAACAAATCTCGACAGTCAGATAAAATGTTTTCATTGGATTATATATTATATAAATGAACCATAAAAACAATGTTGGTGAGCACTAAAAGTATTGTACTATTGATATGTTGTGAGTTTGACATTTAATTTGGTTCGCAAGTATTGGAAATCAACCCGAGAATGCCACCTCCAGTTGGAGGTGGCGAATAACTGGAGGAGGCGAAATTTCCAGTTTTCGTAATGGCGTCAGTTCTGATGTTTTCCTGGCACCTAAAATATCAAATCGTTAAAAAAGCCAGGAAAACGTCAGATATTTCGGACTACAGAAAAGTGTGTGACAAGATAAAATAAGGCATTAAACTGTATATACATGTACAAATACAGACCTGTTTGTAATTTTCTGTTGCACGACACATGCTGATATTCAAAAGATTACAGAACATCTGGTCTGGTGGGGCTTCTTTCTGTTTTGGAAATAATTTCTTGTATGCATCATTGACCACTTTCTGTAAAGAGGTGAACATAAACAAAACATTAATCAATCATGATTATGCAAAACTTGAATAAGTATCTTCACTTAAGTTTTTTATGCTATATTTCAAATGTGTAATGTAAAGCTCACCTGACATTCATAATTTCCCCTTGCTAGCCTCATTGCATAGTCATAAGCCACAGCCTGTTTTTCTGTTCCCCTGTAATATATTTCAGTGAATCATACTCACTTCAAATCATTATGATAAAACTGTACACTGGTCTTGCTCCTTCCATATCAAAAACAAAAAAAAGTGAAAAAAAAAAACAAAAAAAACCCAGAAGTTAATAAATGTTCTACCAGTAAATAAAATGTTTTTTTCAATTTTTCAACTGAATAAGCAAATGATAATTTCCATTTCAGTTCTGAACAAGCAACTGCCTTTTATTTACACATATAACAACATCCATGCAATGAAAAACTTATTCAACTTGAAAGAAGGGATAGAAACAAAATAGAACAAATTTAATATCTCATTCAAGATACATGTACATGTAGTTGAATCAAATTAGCCCTCAATATCAATGGAAAGATTTTTTTCCTTCATTTTTTTCATTTTATTAATTCAATGTTTCATAGTTGCCATTGCAATCTAAGCTCCTACATGGCTGTAAAACTGTTATAAAACAAATAATTACTTAAAATAAAATCAAAAATTCTGAATATCTTATTTTTGTGACTTGTTCAAGGCATACATATAAAACTTGCATCTATTCAAATCATGACCTTTAATAGCCTCTATCTGAAAGTCAGCCATACTTACGATACTGCATCATGATGCTGTGCTACACCCATTGCTTCCTCTGTAAACAAATCAAAACTTGAAATTTTAAAGACTTTTGTTTTTTTTTTCACTGTTTTATTTTTTTCTAAATTTCCGTTTCATGTGTCATTGTTGGGTGACTTATTTCCCTAGATGGTGATCAAGTCAATCACTGTCTTTCAAAACAAAATTATACAATCTTCATAACTCATATAAAGTTCAATATAAATCATAAAGAATAAAATCCTGTAACATACTTAGGACTTTAATGTTCAGTGTGCTATTGTCAGAATCTTCTAACACAGCCAAGGCATCCAGCTGTTTACACACCTAAAACAGAAGTCAAGGGTCAAAGGTGATACATATGTTACAATAATAAGTTACAGATGCTATTTAGGAAACAAAACTCAAAATAATCTAGTTCTGGATGACATATATGTAACTGGAAAGTATATGATCCCTAAAAGATTTCATTCAATTCTGAAACATGCATTGACAAAACTAACAAGTAACCAAATAAACCCAATCACAGAGTACTTATAAAATTTATTTTCGTAAATCTGTAGTCCCTTTGAGTTCAGAATTTCAGAATACTACCTGTAGGAAGTTGTTTGTCTGCCTAACGTAGCCCTTGAGGTTGGGGCGACTGCTGTAGAACCCTGTCCAGTAGGAGTGGGGGAGGTGAGCATACGGGAAGAAATCATCTTTCTTGGTGGGCCAGGTTTGATTGGCTCGATTCAGCTGGTACAGATAACAGCTGGGTGTAGAGTAGAGGAGATTTACTTTGCTACCATGTTCTTGCTGAAAATATGAAAAAAAAATATCAAAACATAATTTTTCTTTTGCAACTAAAGTAGATAATAATTATGGTAAATGGGTCTACCGGTATACATTAGTTTGTCTGCTCCCTTTTGGTGCCACATCATTCTGGGTATAGGATTGGGAGGTAAGGGAATTATTTGATTATTCTGTCCCAAAATGAATTTATTAGACTGACGGTGTAAGTTTCATTTCATTTTGCACTAAATTTAAAAAAAAAAAAATATCATGACAATGTATTATCATGGTCAGACTTTCTATAAAAAATTTTTTTTAGTTGTCTTCGGGTGTCAATTGCAGAGGAAACAAACAAAATACTAATTCTGGCTTTCAAAAATCCTAAATTTCCAGAGCATCTCATTTCAATACAAATAAGTAAAAATTTTAAGACATACACTGTACATCTCAAAAAGATTTTGCAGATTGTCCTTTTCCACATTCAAATTTCTATCTAGTGCTTTCTCTCTCTTAATGAAGTTATACCTGGTACCAATACCTGAGCATTTACAAGCTTTATCAGTTTATCCATGTTCTTGAACCACATGTGTGCATTCTGGTAGTTGAAATCACTCCCCATAGTCATTATTAAGTGATTGGTAGCATAAGCAGTGGCCTGTAATCAAAATCAATCATACAGCACACCTGTCTCAAAGAATAAGAAAACTTTCTCTAAACTATAAAATTATAGTCTACCTGGTTCTGTGTGTAATTGACGTAGGTATAGTTTACCTGGTTCTGAGTGTAATTGAAGTAGGATAGTCTACCTGTTTTGTGTGTAATTGAAGTAGGATAGTCTACCTGTTTTGTGTGTAATTGAAGTAGGATAGTCTACCTGTTTTGTGTGTAATTGAAGTAGGATAGTCTACCTGTTTTGTGTGTAATTGAAGTAGAATAGTCTACCTGGTTTAGTATGTAATTGAGGTATATGTAGCATATTATACCTGGTTCTGTGTGTCATTGACATGGATAGTCTACCTGTATTTGTATCTAATTGAAGTGAGAAAGTCTACCTGCATCTTTGAATGATTGATGTAGGATAGTCTACCTGGTCCTGTGTGTGATTGAAGTAGGATAGTCTACCTGATTTTGTATGTAATTGCAGTAGGATAACATACCTGCATCTCTGCATGATTGAAGTGAGATAGTCCACCTGGTTCTGTGTGTAATTCAAGTAGGATAGTCTACCTGGTTGAGTATGTAATTAAGGTATATGTAGCATATTATACTTGGTTCTGTGTGTCATTGACATTGGATAGTCTACCTGTATTTGTGTCTAATTGAAGTAAGAAAGTCTACCTGCATCATTGAATGATTGACATAGGATAGTCTACCTGGTCCTGTGTGTGATTGAAGTAGGATAGTCTACCTGTTTTTGTATGTAATTGCAGTAGGATAACATACCTGCATCTCTGCGTGATTGAAGTAGGATAGTCTACCTGGTTCTGTGTGTAATTGAAGTAGGATAGTCTACCTGGTTTAGTATGTAATTGAGGTACATGTAGCATATTATACCTGGTTCTTTGTGTAATTGACATAAGGTAGTCTACCTGATTCTGTGGATGATTAAGGTTGGAAAGTCTACCTGCTTCTGTGTGCAGTTAAAGGTAGGATTTTCTATCTAGTTGTGTATTAAATGGGGTAGGATAATATACCTGATTCTGTGTGTAATTGAAGTAGAAAAGTATTCCTGGTTCTCTGTCTGAAGTCGGATAGTATGCCCTGGTTCTGTGTTATTGGAGTAGAATAGTTCATCTGATTTTGTGTGTAAATGTGAAAGGATAGTTTACCTGGTTCTGTGTGTAGTTGAGGAAATCTTTTGTCTTCTGATCTGCATTATAGCCCTCCATATTTTTGTCATCCTACAAAATTTATCTCATCATTTTTATTGCAAGTTACTCAGATGTATCCATTACACTGTATATATTCTACATGTGTGACATATATATAACAGCAGCTTCAAATTGAAATATAATTAATTCAAAGTCTTCCAAGCATATCGTGTTATAAATTGTTTTATGCTGTACTGAGAAATCTAGTGAAAAAATTTGCACAAATACTCGAAGTTCAGTTTGGGAATTGGGATCAATACATGCACACTCACCATAATAGGGTCATCATGACATGACGAGTCCCAACAAAATCCTGGAGGTGGATTGTAGCCATGGTAGAGCACCCCTGTAAACAAGTCACTACTGGAACCTAGAATTAAAACAACGGTGGTATACAAACTGAAGCAGGTTAATTAAAATATACGAGGGGTTATCAAAAAGTTCGTGGACTGACGCGATAAAATTAATAATATGTAGTCTGTGCTTACAAAATTTAAGCGGAACATAAAACAACGAAAGTTTAAGAAATGTTGAAAATTTTAGTTTGATACGTTGATAATTTGCCAAATTATTCTAAAATTAAAAAGACTTTATGTGATCACCCGGCGCTGTCGCCGTTTAGTGTCATGACGTCCGCTTTACGTCATTGTTTCTTAATGTCCGCTCTCTCTACCTCATACACTTATCTTGATGAGATTACCTGGAGTTAATTAAGGACTTAAACCCGTCTTACTTATATGAATTTACAATGTCATGAGCAGCTGTTTTCAATGCATATAATATTGTAAATGGATCTTTATATGGGGAAAGATCCTAACTTGATTATTCCAGAATACTTAGCTTGTTGGAGTTCAATTTCTACCACACATGATCAACGTCACTTTTCGACGTGACTGACTTTTGACACCCTGACTACAAATCGACACTAACTGTGCATATTTCATCTCTCTGAATCTTTTTGGGCATTAAAAAACAAGTACTCTGGATACATTTTATTTTTCTGTAGCCAGTTTAAACATTCCTTAGGTCAATACCAGTTTTTCCAGGAGCGAAACTCTATAGAGTGTTTGAAAAAGAAACCCCTCCCCCTTTTTGACGCTATTTTCAAGCCCATAATTGTTTGGACACTCCATATAAAATTTACGATAAAATTTCATAGAAATTACAGAATGGGGTAAAAATTGCAAATTTTACTAAACAAATGTGTCGTACCACATGCCTGAATTAACGAGATTTTTATGATGACAAATACTCATATCTAAAGAGTTTTTCTCAGTTACACTCAGGTAGAAAAAAAAACGTCATATTAGAGGTTGCGCCGCCTGGACATACCTTTGCTTACAAAAACACTAACAATTTATTAAAAAATAAAAATTATGATTTATGGTTTATTCTATAGATAGAAAAGATGATGCTAACTAAGTGTGTAAAAATTCATTGATGTACCTAAAGCGGTTTTAATTTTATGACACTAGTCCACGAACTTTTTGATAACCCCTCGTAAACAAAACATTAACAAGCATGTTTATTTTTTCATACCTAAATTGTCAGGACTGCCCTGCCAAACCATCTCCATGGATTTTGTTAGAGCTCGATTAAACTTGTCTTGATAATCCAAACGTCCAAAGAACAAGCCATCATATCCCATCTGTAACAGTAATTCCTCTATTAAAAATCTTTATACAACAAACTCTTTAAACTGAATCAAGGATCAAAGTTAGTAAGATGCTTTGATTCACAATAAGCATTTAGTCAAGCACTGTAGGAGAGACTTACGTGAGCAAAAAGGGAAGCTTGCTCCCTGGAGTGGCCAAATGGATCAATCTGCCAAGCTACACGAGGTCTGCCACAATCTCCAAAGTTCTGTCGGAGAAATTCCAATCCAAGAGAATGTTCATCAATGATTGCATTATAATGTGTTGTGGCTTCATCATCCATACACCAGCCACCTAGGATAAACTCGAGGCGCCCTGTCAGTATAATAACAAAGTAATTCTATTTCAATTTAAATGCACTGAAACAAATTCAAATAAAAATGCTTGTAGCTCATACATGCTGATAAAAAGCTCCAATTCATCAAGAATTTTAAAATAATGAAATATTCATATAGAAATAACGAATTACAGACAAAATGAAGTTGGGTGCTTTGAGTCTTGCTATTACCCCATTTCACTGTTGCTAAGGTATTGTTATATGTATATGAAAATTAACGATCCCTGAAGGAGCAGTATACACATGCACTCTCTATTGATATACTGAATTATCATAATTTTTCCATAATTTATGACCAAATAATAAATATACATCATACACATCTTTTCACCTTTATTGGTATGTTAAACATTACCGGTAGTTAAACAGTTCATTGATGATTAAATCCTAGAGTTGAAGTAGTTTCTCTGTCATGGTCACTTAATTGTCATTTAAAAATTGACTAAAAATCTGGATACAATTTAAAACTTTCAATATATGTAGCCATTACTTACAAGATCCTTAAATGCATAATTACCCTCTTGAGTTCAAGGGCTTCAAATATTATTACCAAATATTCTGTTATAAATGATATCACAAGTTTATGAATCACTCTGTAATAAAATTCAAAAGTACTTTGCCTATCTCCATGCTGATAGTAAATGTTAACCTAGAGCTAGTACATGTTGTTCATTTTTATAATATGATAGTGTACTAGTATGCATTATAGGTTAAAATGTAATTGAGAATAATTTTTCTCATCAATTCTTGGTAGATATTATAAACAGAAAGCATCACTGCATCCCCTCTGAAGTACACATTACCATCATTAACAAGTCCTTTGACCAAATGCCTCATCCTGTCATGTTGCTGTCTCCACCATCGTGCAAAGAAAGCAACCTCCACATAAATAAATCTTTTGTTTTTATCTGCCATAAGTTCCTGAATAACTGAGTCCAAGATATACTGCACTCCGGCATTCTGTATATTGTTCTTGTCTGAAATAATGGAATCATTATTTTAATGCAACAATCCAAATCATTGCTACATGTACAAACTAGGTAATCACTTTCATAATATTTTTTAATTTTAATTTCAAGAGGATAATGAGGTGTTCCTCCAGAGAGAAGAAATGTGGTTGATTCAGATAAATAAACATTTTATTCAAAAGTTTGAACAACAAGTCTTGAAGCTGTCTTCCAAAATTCAGACACAGCTTGTAAATAGAGAACTTTATGGTTCAAAAGATACTTTGAAATAACTGAAAGACTAGTAAGTGCACTGAGCAGGAATTTCCTACATTAAATAGAAAATTTTAGTACTGTCAAATTGACAGACAGATCTATCTAGCAGGAATTTCCTACATTATATAGAATTTCTACATATTTGTCAAATTGATATATAATTATTTATACAGTACTGTATTCCGTTCATTCAAACAACATTTTAAAAGTAAAATGTGAATTAAAACGAGTCATTGTAGATAGTCTATAACCTCCATAATAGTATTGGTCCACTGTTTTTAGCCAACCCACATCATCATGAGTATGGGGGACCAGGTGGACATTGATCATTCCATCTTTAACAGGATTACAGCTCTGTCAAATAAAGCAATGAAACTAATGTTTTATATATCAATTACAATCTTTAATTGCTACTTGTATAAGAAACTTTTAACTAACTGGCCACTTCAAATCAGATCTTTGAATATATTGTTCATTTAATATATTCTTCTTGAACTTGATTAATCCTACAATTCTAATACCAAGGACTTCTGTGTAATTGTTACATTTATAAGGCGCTGATTTTCCTCTTCACACATAGGTCTTAATTCAACAGCTACTTGGTAATTTTTATCACAAGAAACTGATATGAAAAATATTAATATGCTATCAAGATTTAATTTATGACATTTAGGGACATGAAAGTGGAATTTTTATTTTCCAAAAACAAATCAAGTTAGACTTAAATAGCTTCTGAAGAGGTAAAAAGATGAAGGATATTAAAGCCACTTGGTAAAAAAAAAAGGAATATTGCATGTAGCAAGGAGACACATATATGTGTACACCATATAGCTGTTCCTGTGGCATATTACTGCATGTTCAAGCTACTGGGTATATGAGAATATCTCAGTATCTTTGTACCTCCAAATTTTTTGTTTTGTTTTTGTTTTTGTTTTTTTTTTTAGAACTTTGGTTCAAAATGGTCTGAAGGAGACACAGTTTATTTATTTATTTTTTCATGAAAACAATGAGGTTAAAACTATCTTATCATCAAACTGCGACTTTTTTTAACTCTTACATGCTGATCAGAATATTGACTATCTGCTTAAGAAAAATACATAAAATAGCTAAATAAAACCAGGATAACAACAATCTACCTGAACTTTCTTTAGAAAGCCCGGGTTTAATTATATATAGCCAACTCAAGCTACATAACTATAAATCAAGAGGTTATTATCTAACATTCTGGTTCTCCTCTTTCTACAAAGTGTACTATCAACATAGCTAATACTGACCCCTTATGCAACGTTACTCTGCAATCAAAATGCTGCAAAGTGACATTAAAATCATGAAAAAAGCAAACCTCATATCCACATTTTGAGAAACTACCCTTAATGAAAAATACTATGACAAGAAAAACACCAAACGCCTGAATCTTCATTCTTCTGCAGCTGAACTGCGAAGTTGTGTTTACAGGTGAGGTCACTATCAATAATAGGGGGTTTTAAGTACTCCAGTAAATTTTTCCGTAGGAGATACGGGAATTAAATAAAATATTTCCTTACTTCCTTAATTTTGTGATAAGAAACACTATTTGCATTTGGGAAAATTAACATTTTGAAGTAGTTTTGTCTTTGGATAAACATTAATAGTAAAAGTGAAAGTAAACGCTTCTATCCTGTCATCCCCATGATTGAGACAACCCTCTTTCGTTTTGAAGACCGGTTCTTCTGTCTGTCTTTAATGTGTATCAAACAAGAAAGGCCAGTCTATATACTTGGGTAATAACTGAGTTGTGGATGTTTAGTATATACCTGATTGAAATTTATAAAATGTATTCACAGGTCCCGCCAGAGGAGGCCTTGACATAGATATGTTAACTATGTTAACTAAATTATCCGATCCCGATGTGAATTACGGGCAAGCTGACGAACACCAACAAATTGGTGTTACAGTACACGTACTTATAAAATGATTAAATTCATAGCCCATACCAGGCAGTTTGGAGGGAATCAAAATTCCATTGGGCAATGCAGAGGCTGGATTTCTAGGCAGACTTCAGCAAAAAGCCCATACGAAGAGATGTTGAATCCTTGCTTCAAGAAATTAATCTGCCAGCTCTACAAGAATATTCATCTTCTAGTTCCACTACGTTGAACATCCAGCATTTATGAAGAGGACAGATTCAGTAGCATTCACTCAGCAGAGATGGATTACATTTGAGCCAAAAGGGGACCAGCACTGTCATTGCATGGTGACATTACAAGGGCAGTTTTATCTTAGACTTTTCTTCTCGCCCAGCCTCCCCATCACCCTTTCCATACAGGTCCACTCTTCTGTCAACACTGATGGTAAAGATGTCAACTGTAACCATCAGCCAGGATAATAATTGACCAATTGTACCACGAGCTTTACCATCAAGATTTATCTTGGCTTGTTTCGCTCCCAGCACTTACTGTGACACTATTGTGACAATGCAGGAGAGAGTCAGTCTACTAGCATATCCACTGCTTCTACTTCCTCTATTTCATCTCAGATGGGTCCCTCTCCTTGCACTTCATCTGGTCTACTTCCTCTCTTTGTGTTTCATCTGTATCTACTTCATGTCCTCTATCTTCCTAACACTTCAATCCCTCTTCATGCATTTCATCTATGTCTACTTTCTCTCCTTATGCTTCACCTGTGTCTTATTCCTCAGTCTCTCTTTCCACACACTACTTCGGGCTCCTAGGTACTTCCTTTTCTGGCATTTTAACAGTCTACTTCCTTTTTTTGCACTTCCTCTCAGTCTAGACCATTTCTTGCACTTCCTGTCAGTCTAGACAATCTCCTTGCACTTCATCTCAGTTTAAACCATGTTCTATCTCTTTCTCTCAGAACAGACCATTCCGTGCACTTCCTCTCAGTCTAGACCATTCCTTGCACTTCCTGTTAGACTAGTCCACCTCCTCACACTTCCTCTCAGTCAATACCATCTCCTCACACTTCCTCTCAGTGTAGCCCATTTCCTCACACTTCCTCTTAGTCTAGTCCATCTCCTCACACTTCCTCTTAGTCTAGTCCATCTCCTTGCACTTCTTCCCAGTCTAGACCATTCCTTGCACTTCCTCTTTATCTAGTCCACCTCCTTACACTTCTTCTCAGTCAAGACCATTCCTTGCACTTCCTCTTAGTCTAGTCCATTTCCTCACACTACCTCTCAGTCAATACCATCTCCTCAACCTTCCTCTTAGTCTAGTCCACCTCCTCACACTTCCTCTCAGTCAATACCATCTCCCTACACTTTCTCTTAGTCTAGTCCACCTCCTCACATTTCCTCTCGGTCAATACCATATCCTTACACTTCCTCTCAGTCTAGTCCATTTCCTCACACTTCTCTTCAGTCTAGTCCATTTCCTCACACTTCCTCTCGGTGTAGTCCTTCTTCTCACATTTCCTCTCAGTCTAGTCCACCTCCTCAAACATCCTCTTAGTCTGGTCCATTTCCATGATATGTGCTTAATCTCATGCAGTCCTCATTTTGCTGTTCATCACAGTCTGGTTCCTTTCTTTAACATTTTATCTCTCTCTCTCTCCCCACACTGGTTTAAAGATTTATAGAAGCTTGATGCAAGAAGACACAGGTGAACATTGTGGCCCATGGGCCTCGTTTAATTAATTTAAAAGAAACATTTAGGGAGCAACTTGACCAATCAGTTAAAAGATGTAAATATTTCAATGATTATGTATATAATTTACATTGAATCAACCAATTTAATTCTCATTTTTTCAAAAATACGTATAATAACTGCACATACCTGTTAAATCTGATAACATATCAGAGTTCATTTACTTTGATATAGATGCAGAATAATGAAGATAAAGAAATCAAGAGTACAAAAACTCAGGTATACACATATGTGCTAATTTTGATAACTGAATTGATAACCTCACATGACAGATATCTCATATTTTATAATTGTGTCACACAGCCATGGCAGGGTGGACTACCCTGTCTATTATTTGGACATGTTTTGTTCTTGCAGTCGTGAATGGAAGGCCCAATGTGGTAGAGTTTGCACCTCCTGAACCACAATGTGGGTACAGGGTAGGTCCATAAGCATTTGTCTATAATAATTAGGTTATTTCTTGTAAAAATTTAACTTTGTATGAAACTAATGAGTGTGAAGTTTAAGTAATTGGAGTCAGCCACTGTGCATGCAGTGTTTGAAAAGTTCCTATCTGTTGCTTTGTGACTTGATCACTATAAAACTCTGAATGATTGTACTTGCATAACAACTTATAAGTATAGTTAAGCACTTAAAGCTGTCATTCCTGGGGGATTTGATGTATACAAGTCCTTGTTTTTTCTATAATGCTGTATAAAGAAGGTACAAGTGAAAACATATAAGTACATTGGCAGCATCTGGCTTTTTTTAATTTGTTCAAATTCACATTATGCTACACCATCTTCCACTAATTGTCAAGATATTTGGTACCAACTTCAAATGTATAATACAGAATTGTCTTGTAGAGTTGTCCAGCTACTTCCGACACCATGCTGAATGTCCATCTTGTCCCCCACACACATGATGACGTAGGATGGCTGAAGACAGTTGACCAGTACTTCTATGGCTGTAAGTTAATTCTAGCCCACCTCTACACACCTCTGGTTTAGATTTTGCTGTATGATTTCAGTTGCATCCTAGATTGAAATGTTCACAATTTTTCAAAGCATATGCATGCAGACAGACAGACACCATGCAAAGCAATCCCAAAATGTAGCTCTGCTCTGCAGGCAACACAAAAAATCTCTGGATTTTATGAGTTGATTCCCAAAACTGCACACAGAGTCATTCATGAAAAAAAAAAAACAAGTCTATATTGTAACAGCTGAGTAAGAAGTGTCTGCTCCAAGTTATCTCCCTTGAAGCAACATAAGCAACTCTGGGATGCGTTCAAGATCATATTGGTAACATAGCTCTATGTCCAGCTACAATCTTGAATTAAGTGCTAGCCTAGCCATTATAGAGGGATAACAGGTGATAATTCATAGAGTGCTTTCAATAAGACTGGATATCTAGCTTACTAACAGCTATGATCTTGAATCGACCCTGGTAAATGTAGGTCACAGATTACTTTAAAGTGGACCTGTCCTTTTGTCTGTCCATCTGTCACACCTCATATCTTGAAAACTACTGGTATTAAAGGTATGGATTTGATATTTTGCTTGAAACAATGGCTTTTGTAAAATACCCCACCTACCGACCTTGTGACCTTTGAACTTGACCTTTAACCTACTTTTCAAAAACACTTTATTGCCAATAGAAATTTATTTTTTGACCTTTGAGAGGTAATTCTGTGCTATTTAGCAGTGCACTGCTCGTTAAAAGACATTTTGAAAAATGCCAGTGTAAAAGTCCATTAGACCTTGACCTTTAATACAGTTTTCAAGAATACTCTGGACTTTAATTTATGTGTTTTAAATTTTTAGAGATAGGGCTTTCATAACTAGTATATATTTTATATGTTTATGACCTTGTGATGCTTTACTTTCAAACTGGTTGATACAAATTGAAATTGAAATGCATTCCATTAGATTGACATTTGATGAAATTAATGTGTTAAGCTTGAATTAAGTAGTGTTTTGAGTATTATATGGTTTAGGGGTCACTGTTTAGTGTCCAAGTGAACTTGGTTATCAATTTAAGAGAGTACATGTATTTCAAAATAGGAAAAAAATGTCATCAAACTCAATAAGTAGATATTTTCGAACAACTGAAAAATTGGTTGCTTTTTTAAAGTTTAGATCCAAACTTTGTACTAAAAATAAATATATAAATAAACTCCAAGATTTCTCAATGGCCTATGATTAAAATTTTACTTTTGAATGCAGCAGAGATAAAAACTTGTATTTGTGAGCCAGCAATATGAATCTAGTTTAAAGACATCTCTAATTAATTTTCTAGCAAGAAATGACATCCAGCATGCTGGAGTTCAGTACATTTTGGACTCTGTGATTCCTGAGCTCCTCAGTGACCCCAGTAAGAGGTTTATTTATGTGGAGATTGCATTCTTTGCTCGATGGTGGAGGGAACAAGATGCCACAATGAAGGGAAATGTCAGAAAACTTGTTAGTGAAGGTGAGTGTGGATTGATAGAGGAAAAATATATATATATGCACAAATCATAAGGACTGCACTATGTAGATTTATGATATAATTGATTGATTGTATGTTGTTTCACATCTCGTTCGAGAATTTTTCACTCATATAGAGATGTCAACATATGCCGGTGAAGGGCCTCAAATTTAGACCTTTACTTGGCACTTAGGGCCATTGAGCAGTGAGGGTTCTTTATCGTGCCAACGCCTACTGTGACACGGGGCCTCGGTTTTTAAGGTCTCATCCGAAGGACCCGCAACTTTCACTTCAAAGTGCTGAGCGCTTGGCGAAGGAACAGTTGCTACCTATTTTTTATTG